TTATAAATTCCATCAGGTTTATACATGTCAAGTTCTATTGATAATAAGTCAACATTTTGCCATCAAATCTCAATCATACATATGCACCCCACCCTCACACAATCAACACTATGTCATTCTCACGTCACTATTGTTGCATTACTCGATCAGCGTCATGCCACGCCAACATATGTACTCATTGCCACACGCATCATACAACACTATGTCATGCTCACGCCACCCTTTAGCAGCTCATACTCAAGGTCATGCCACACCAACATACATACTCATTGTCACATGCATCATACAACCAATACTATGTCAAGCTCATGCCACCCTTATAGCAGCTCATGCTCAGGGTCGTGGCACGCCGAGATGTACTCGTTACCACACGCATCATACAACCAACACTATGTCATGCACACACCACCCCTATAGTAGCTCATGCTCAAGGTCATGCCACAACAACATACTTGCTCATTGCCACATGCATCATACAATCAACATTAAGCATGCTCATACCACCCCCTGTAGCAGCTCATGCTCAAGATTGTGCCACGCTGACATACATGCTAATTATCACACACATCCCACATTATGCCATGCTCACGCCAACCTTGTAGCACCTCATGCTAAGGATCGTGCCACGCATGCATTTGTGTCAAGACATCACACTTCAGTCCACAACTAAATTTCCACTTCACGCACACAATCAACATTTCTAGTCAAAATAATACGTGATACATAAAACTTGCACTACATCCTCTTACACGCCAATATCATTACCAAGCATGCATATGAATCAAGCATCAATTTACATCATATATCATCCATATATGAACCAACTCTACAAAATATTATCATACTACTTTAAACAACTTTTCAATCCACATGATAACACCTTAGAACATTAAATAACATATGTTTTCCTTTGACAACTATCAAAGAAAACAATACACAGAGAGTTATACTCATCCAAATAAGCTCTAACCTATCTTAAAAGAAATATAAGAGGATAATCTACAACTCTCATGAAGACATGAAATTCTAAAAAAATCATCCACTTAGCTAAAAACTTCAAAAATCGCAACAAATATAGTTCATGTTGATAGCTTGACCCCTGTTCACTAAAATAACCATAATGGAGTTCTAAACCTCCTTTTTTAGGTGATTTCAACTCCATTGGAAAGATAACATCCGAGACTACAACTTTTATGAAGACATCAAAGTCTAATTCAGAAAGCATCAAATTGCTTAGCACCTTTCAAAGTGTTCAGCGCTTTACTTTCAGGAATCCTTTGCAACGCGGCCCCCGAAGGGCATAGCCCTTCAAAAGCATTCAACCGTTTCCAACAACTCATTCCTTTGCCTCTAGGGATCCTTCCCTATCACACGATCCCCAAAGGGCTCAACCTTTTGAAATGGCTCAGTCATTTGATGACAACGGGCCTCCACACCTAAAACTCAAAAAATTCAACATGTGACCCCTAGAATCCATCTCCACAATTGCATATTTCAAAGATTGTATCAATAATAAGCTTTTAATCCATTCAATAATTCAATGATTCAACCAAAATTCAATGTTCTAGTTTCCCTTACGAACCCTAACTCACAAACACTTTTAAAACAATTTTATTCTCTCTCCCAGATCATCATTTTTAACAATTCTTCACATATTCATAATCATAAACACATACAGAATCTAATAATACCAACAATTCTCCAAACAAAAATAATTATAAAATTATTAAAAATTCCAAGGGGACTCTTCTCCACCCATTCCCTCATGTAACTCTACACATAAATCTATCATTTTCCCCTCGTACCTAATGATGCGAATCTGATAGTCATGGTGAAATCTGAGGTTGTTCTTGAGTTTTCCTCCTCAGAGCTTCTGTATATCCTCTCTTCTCCTCTTACTCCTTCAAAATGTCAAAAATGAGAACTAATGGAGTTAGTCTCCTAACCTTTCCTTTTCATTCCCTCGGGTTGGGTCAACCCAACCCAACTCAATTCTGACCCGTTTCTCCTTCCTTTCCAAAACAAATATTAAATAATAATAATAATAATAATAATAATAATATAAAATATATTTCTCTTAAATAAAAATAATTATCATTATATCTCTACATCCCCAAAAATATAATAAAAATATAATTTTATAAATAATATTATTTTCTAAAAAATAGGGTGTTACAAACATAATTAATATATGATGAGCCAATGTGAATTAGATCTTATATAAAAGAATAATTGCTCTAAGTGGGGTCTTATAAATAAGAACAGATGTAGTAATGTGTATGTATTATTTTGATTATTTTGAAGATGTTTTTGTTTTATAATATGTAGATTTTTTCATTCTTATTCCCAAATACTTCAAAAAAACAAGAGAAATAATATTGCAATATATTGAGTGTCATCTTCACACACTATAGTGCGTTTGAAATCATTAAGTAAAATAAGAAGAAGAAAAAATAGAGGAACTATATTGCAAATTTATCAATTTAGTTAATTTTTTACAATATATCAATTTAGTTAATGTTGAAAGATCTATTTACTTTGAGAAGGAAAAAAGTTACTTTTTTTTTTAATTTTTTTTTTAAATTCATTAGATATCTAATGATTCAAACCGAAATAATCCAATTTACATCGAATTGGTTTGGTTCTGGTTAAGCAAAGAAAATTATAAAAAATTTCAAACCAATTAAATTTAATTTATTTAGATTGGATTTTCACTCAAATCCAAACCAACCTAACTAATGAACAACATTAGCGTGTAGCACAGTTTATTTATTAGTTCATCAAAAAATTGAATAGTTCACAAGGTTGATGACACATTCAATCAAATAATTTTACATCTTAGTTAAACTATGAATTATACATGGGTTTTTGTACTCTTTGTACCAAGTTAATATATCACTTTTGTACCAAGTTAATATATCACTTTTCTTTGCCGATAAAAAATAAGTTTTGATCCAACAAAAGGTTTAGACCAATTAGACCATCAATTTCTCGATTGATCAATCATCAAATAATTGGTCAATTCACACTAGTTCGATGACACATTTAATTGAAGAAAAAGTTTACGTTAATTATACCATCAATTTCTAGATCAACTAGTTTAAGTTGATTTTTAACACTAATTATGATTATTTAATACATTTGTCATAATTTTTATCGTATATCATCTCTCTTTTTCTCCTCTGTATAACCTTCTACTTCAATGAAGCTTATCTAGTTATCTTAAATATAGAAAATATTAAAAAAATATTTATTATATTAAAATATTAAATTCATTTAAGTTTTTCATTTTTAGTAATTAAAGTCATCATCACATAAGAATGTGTTTGATATGTATAATATTTTTATTTTTATAAGAATCTTAAATCGAGAATTTGATAGTTATTTGAAAAAAGATTCAAAGGAATATAGTTTATCGAAGATCATTTTTATTTCACTTTCCTATAAAAACAATCTCATGAGAGGTGAGAATCTAACTTTTCAGAGTTAAAAGGAAAATTTTATGTAAATAAAAATATAATAGTGTCTATTTTTAAAACAAAAAATATTTCTTTCTTTTTCCTTTTATTTTCCTTTCTCTCTCTCTTTCTCACTCTCATTCTCACTCCCCCTCTTTTTTCTCTCTGCCTTTCTATGTCTCCCTCTCTCTCTCTCTCTCTCCTTCTCTCTCCTTCTATTTCTATTTCTCTTTCTCGCTCTCTATCTCTCTTACTCTCAATCTCCCTCTCTCCCTCTCTTTTTCCTTCTCCCCCCTCTCTCTCCCCCTCCCTTCTCTCTTTCTCCTTCCCATATCACTATTTCTCTCTCTATCTCTCTCTCTCTCTCTCTCTTATTAATTTTAATAATATTATTAAAGTTTATTTTGTTTCTATATTTTAATAGTATTTGTTAACACTTTTCGTTTTTCTTTTTCATTTGAATGAAATGAAATAATATATTTTTATTTTTCTTAATTATAATGTAATATTTTTTTTTATTTTTTGTTGAATTATGTATTTAAATAATTTTAATAAGCTTTTAACTTTTAAAATAGCTTAATATCATATTGTAATAAGATTTAGATAAATAAATATATCTAATGAGTTTATTTTAATAAATGATATTTTTGTAAAAAATATTTATATACAAAAAAAATACTATTATAATCAAACATTAAAATTTTTAATTCCCACAAATCTTATGTAAATATTCTCAAGAAATTTTATGAGTAATCAAACATATTTTACCTATTTTTAAAAATTATGATTAATTTTCAGAATTTATAATTTTATAAAAATCATAATTACTAGATATGAAGAAAAAAAATTCATATTAAACCTCCACTAAAAGAATATATCCCCGGAGATATGTAATTAAAAACTGATATTGAACAAAACAATCGGTGGATTCTGAGTTTGTAACACTTATTTAAATTAATATTTGAGCCAACTATGGAACAATAATTCAACATGGTATTACATCATCAAGGCATGATCTAGGCCTTCAGGGGATTAAAAATATTTTCGTTATGGAACAAACACGTACACCTACACCAGTTGGTATCCAACCTGGTTAAAACATTCATACGAATAAGAATATGCTCTCAAATTCATTTTGAAAACATATTTTTACGAAAACATAAATTTCTCCTTTATACTTAACAATTACAACTCTCAGCGTCTTCTTTAACTAATCTACAAAATAATATGACTAAATTTTTTATAATTTTTAAAGATCAAAGCAAAATTTTAACATTATTAACAATATTTCACAGTCTAAGTGAGAGATAATCTCTTGTAAAAAAAGTAGTGATAAAAACTTTCGATTTGTAGAAAATACAGGGATAAAAAAAAATCGATTGGTGCCAAAATAAGGGTTTTATGTTCTTTTTACAACTCATGAACACCGTATATTAATTTTTTATGTCCTTTTTTCAAGATGAACAACAAAAACAGTAACTATATTAGGTACGACGAAAAGAATCTCAAAAAATGACACAAGATCCTCGCCAACAACATAATTTATGATTATTATTACTTTTTTTCTCATCTCTATCCTCGTCATCTCCCTCTTCCTTTATGTGAGAGCATATGTTACTGTTCAAAGAACATTGAACTATACATTCACCAAGTACTAACCAACCCGTCTATATATAAGGCCAAAAGTCCAACACGTACCATAAACTTAGTGACTAAGATCAGTCTCACTGAAAGACTCCATCAATGGCCGTAGTTCATGGCAGTTGGGTCAAGGTTTGTAGCTCTTTCTCTATTTCGTTTTCTCTTTGATTAAACTCTATCATTCATTCATATTTTGTTAATATGAAACATGTGTGAATAAAACCCCTCTTGGTTCTACTTCTACCCCTTTTAGTTTTTATCCATCCCTTCAATCTCTCTTTTTTGGTGTTTTCAATTAATTGCAATGTTTTCTTTCTCGAAGCACAAGCCTTTGCAATTGTGTTTGGTTCAACTTGTTGTAAATAATTAATAAGTCACATACTTAGATATATTGATTTCCTTAGAAACCATGCATAAAATTCCAGTTGAAATTGTTCTCAAGGGATCGTCAATGAAGAAGCAAGTTGTTGAAAATGAAAAAGTGGGGCTTTAGAGTAAAGATTAAATGTCAAAATCAACTTTTTAGTGAAAAGCACTTAAAATCATACATGGGTTTCCCAACTATATTTGTCTATAGCAAGTCTCACTCATTTCTTTTTTTTTTCTTTCTGTGTTATGTGTTGTCATCCACTCATTTCTTATCACCATTAAGCAAATCTCACAATAGAATGAAATTCTTGTAATAAAAAAGTTGATATATTTTGCACTAAGTTTCTTGTGATGAAGTTAATTTTAAGATATGATATAACTCCATTTCAAATCTTGTACCAGCTTGATCAAAGAGGAACCGGGCAAGGAGCGAGAAGCTCACATGCTATAGCCATAGTAGCACAGAAAGTGTATGCATTTGGTGGCGAATTCGTGCCACGTGTCCCCGTCGATAACAACGTCCACGTGTTCGACCTAGAGACTTTGACGTGGTCCGTGACCGATGCATCAGGGGATATCCCACCGCCACGTGTCGGTGTCACAATGGCCGCAGTGGGGGAAACCATTTATGTATTTGGTGGAAGGGATAGTGAGCACAAAGAGCTCAATGAGCTCTATTCCTTTGACACAAGGGCCAACAAATGGGCCTTGATTTCAAGTGGCCCTGTTGGGCCTCCCCATCGGAGCTATCACTCTACGGCCGCCGATGACCGATACGTGTATGTCTTTGGCGGCTGTGGATTTGAGGGGAGGCTCAATGACTTATGGGCCTTTGATGTTTTGGACAAGAAGTGGGTGGAGTTTCCTTCTCCGGGTGAGAATTGTAAGGGGAGAGGTGGGCCGGGCTTGGCTGTGGCCCAAGGGAAAATATGGGTTGTGTATGGGTTTGCTGGAGAGGAAATGGATGATGTTCATTGCTTTGATCCAGCCCATGGGACTTGGGCCCAAGTTGAGACAAGTGGGCAGAAGCCCACGGCCCGGAGTGTGTTTTGCATTTTTAGTAATGGGAAGTATTTAATTGTGTATGGTGGGGAAATTGACCCAAGTGACCAAGGTCACTTGGGTGCTGGGCAATTTTCTGGTGAGGTTTATGCATTGGACACTGAGACACTATCATGGGAGAGGTTGGAGGATAAGGTGGACTCCGGTGGCCATCCCGGGCCACGAGGGTGGTGTGCTTTCGCCGGAGCTCGGCGTGGCGGCCAAGAAGGGTTGTTGGTGTATGGTGGCAACTCTCCTAGTAATGATAGGCTTGATGACATTTTCTTCCTTGCTCTTTCCCAAGAGTTGGCAAATTAGTTGGTGAATGTTGTGATAAGGTTGCATAATAATGTATGGTGATTTCTAAATGTATATGTGATCCTTGTGAGAGGGCAATGGCATGAGAACTAAGGAGTCTTTGGTAGTTAATGTAGTTAGCTTGTGAATGTGCTTGTGTTGTGGAACAAAGTTGCAAGTGTCTGATTAATTTGGCAATTAGATGATATGATGTATTTGAAATATATTCTTGATCCTGGTTGGGGACAATGGAATCTTTGCGTAGCTTATGAATGTACTTGTGCTTTTGTGAAAGAATAAATTAGCAAGTGTGAGTCAATTCTCAAATGATGATTTAATGATTCAATTATTCTTGACTTTTGATTTGATTTTCCTATTTCTTTTTCGGTGATAGCGATTAAGGATATTTAATTGGCTAGTTTGTTTAAAATTTAAACAAGTGATTAAGGATATTTAATGTTGAAGATGGGTTATTGTGGGAGTATGGAAACGATGACTCTTGGAAGCTACACCTAGTGAATTATGCTTTAAGTGAATTTTTAGCTGTAAGTGAATTAGTGATATCGAATGGAATTGGTTTATAATCAGAAAATGATATTTGTTTACAATCATATAATTTCCTTTCAGCACCAATGGAAATTTTCTTTGTTTTCCTTTGTCAGTTTGTCACTCATTTTTCAGGGAAGTCCTATTCATGCAAAATTTCTTCAAAGGAGAAATACCGATACTCTCCCCACCTAATGTAAAGCATTGGGGATGGATAAGTAATAAGTTATAATCAAACATATGACCTTCATTAAAAAATGCATTTTTGTAGCTTTCCATTTGCCCCATTTACCATGTTTTGGGGTAACCACGTACCATGTAAAAGGATTTTTAAATTGCACCTACTTACAAACTATATAGTAATTGCTTTGTTAAAACCAAATTGTCACACGATATGACAATTATTTAGTTGTCTTATATGAAAAGAATCCAGAGAAAGAAAATGAGGATCCCTTAGTTTATTCACCCTCTTATAGAAAACTAAAATTGAAACCGAAGCATTTAGATTGTGTTCTCTTGATTCCACCTACTCCTCCATCTTGAACCCTTTATAGTTGCTTTCATAACATAATTGATGCACAATTAGCTTCAAAAAATGGTCGTAACAAGTAGGAGTAACAAAATGGGTCAGTCTAACCTGTTTTAGTCCGGCTTGTCAATGACCTGCCAAAAATAAGTCAACGTATATTAGCCCGCCATTAAAAAAAGGGATAGGAGTTGGTCCTCTCTGTCTAAGATTGGGCTAGCGGGCTAGCGGGCCAGCCCGCATACTACTAAAAAAATTGAAAAAAAAATTATAAAAGATATATCTTATGTTCAAATAAAAAAACTGTTACAAATAAATAAATATAACCACATGAAATTGAAAATGTATACATATTGTGCATAATATATGTTCAACAAAAATAAATTACAAACTTACAACAAAATCAAATATAAATTAGTCTACTTATAACAAAATCAAAATCAAATTATTAATAATATAAATTTTCTAATAATTTACATATGAAGTCCAATTACTTATGTGGGCTGGCCCATCACAACTCACCAACCCGCCATTTGGTCCGATAAATTGGTAGACTTGATAGATTAGAATGATGAGTCTAATCTGCCAATTTTTGGTGGGTCAATGGGTCAGCCCAGGGGCTATGACCCATTTTTCCACCCCTAGCGACAAGCACAGATGAGTTAGAGGCAGAAACTGATTCCAGTTATGATAGAATAAGTGAACTTAAGGAATTTGGTGATTCAAAGGCTGGTGGTGTCCAAGGACTTGCAGAAAATGGTGACAAAAGTTCAATGTATGTTCTACTGTGAACACTCTAAGTAGCAAGTGGCATGATTAATCAATAATTCTCAATTAGATAGTTGGGAATCTTTAGTAGTTAATGTTGGTTGCTTGTGTAGTGGAACAAAATAGCAAGAGTATGATAGGGTAAAAGCTATCAAAATTAACGTAAACATTAAGGGCTAAAAACTAAAGAAATTATGCTTGATTCATTTCCTACCATAAAAGGGAATACAATCCAGCTTAAAAAAAAAAAAAGTAACTAACGGCTCTATGATTCATACCCTCCACATGTGTAGATCTTGAAGGAGAGGGAAAAATTAACGATAATATAAGTTTAAATTTAGTCTTAGAGATATCTGGGCCTATTAGTATTCCTCTTGGGCTTGATCATAGTGTTGCTTTGTATTGGGCTCCTATCAGAACGGGAACTATGGAATCTTACATAAATAATGTACGTAGCTTGTGAATGTACCTGTGCAGGGAAGAATGTTTTCTGTCATAATTATATCATCATATTATATTTTTAAAATATAATTGAATTGGAAGTTAAAATGTAGGAAATAGTTAATGTTAATCAATAACTTGAAAAAACTCCCCTTATTTAGCAAGTCTTCTATGTTCACTATTTTTTTATTAGTCAAAATTATAATGAAAATAACAAAATTTGAATTTAAAACTTTGTTCCTCTACTAAGTTGATTTATGATGTGTTTCATCCACGCACATTTTCATACACTCAAATGAAAATGCATAAATATGGGTGGATTGAGTTGATCTTAAGTTTAACTTTTCTAAATGGTAAAATAAACATTGATTCTCCTGCGTCCACTTGTGTAATAAAGGAATTTAGTCACTTGATTCAATTGGTAAAGGTATGAAAATTAGTGGATTGGAACAACAATATAGGAACCAAAAGCAGCAATACCACATTTCTTCAATTTAACTTATATCTTTGATACTATTCAAGTGTCCAAGCAGAAAAACTTTACTAAGAAGGCATAATATGTCTTGGTTTCACTATAGGATAATATCAAAAATATGAAGATTGCATGCAACTGTTCATAGTCACAACTTGAAGTGTGATAGTGCGGAAGTTCCAATGCCCTTTGCATAATAATATGTCAAGTACTCTTTTAAAGATACGTCTCTGTAGAGTGGTGGATTTTCTTCTGATAACAGCTCCTTGATTGGACCATAGACTAGTGACTCATCACCATCTGTTCTAAACAACGATGCAACAGATATTCTTGGACCTATATGATTTGTTAAGACTCTGTGCTGGACGCTAACGAACTTGTCATTAGAAAGAAGCTGCACAAAAAATACAGTGAAACTGATAATCATAATCCAATTCTTGTTTCACGTGTATAACCCGAGCATTTTAAGACAATGTCCACTAAAATGTTAAAACTATGCAAGTCTTGCTTGAGCACAGTTCCTATAGAATCCACCAATCAAAAACTTATCATAGTTCGTATTGAAGTACTCAAAGGTCAAGATTCAAGAAAACATCCAAATTATCCGATGGACTTCAGTTTCATCTTGGTATTTCTAGATTTTAATATGAATGTGTGAAAAATTTTGTTTAAAATTTAAACTGCTATGAGTGGAACAATATAACTAATGTGCAGAATGGATTAACTAGCATATTTTGGCGATAACAATATGAACTCATATTTACAAAATCTCATATACTATTTTTCAAAATAAATTAACAATTAGAATGAACTGACTATAATAAAAAGAAAAAGGGCATGTGGTGATCAAAATTGCAAGAAGGAATTATGCTAAAGAGAGGGTAATCAAGACTCAAGACAATTCAAATTCTAAAACCATTAAACTAAACCAATAATATCTACTGGCTTTCTAATGATCTTCAGCAATATCGTTGCTTCAAGCTATTTCAAACTATTTCAGACATTTACTATTTCATTCTTGTTATAAGTTATAATACAGATGCTATACATTGTTATAAGCTATACAATGTGCTATTTCAATCAAGCATGATTAACTATGATGCTATACATTGTGCTTAGCCTCGATAAAAATATTTTAGTATGAACATGCTATTTCTATGCATGATGATCTTACCTGCAAAAGATCCCCAATGTTTACTACAAGGGCTCCATGGATGGGAGTTACATCAACCCATTGATTGTCATGAAGAAGTTGAAGACCACCTATCTGGTCTTGCAGAAGTATTGTTATGAAATCATTGTCTGTGTGCTTGCTATTTCCCATAGTTAATTCAGGCTCAGGACATGATGGGTAATAGTGACATAGGAGAAGAAACCCTTCAGCACAACCCATATCTTCAAGATGAAAACGATTTAGGCCTAGTGCCTCTGATAGTAACTCAAACAGAATAGAAGCAAAAGCCTTTACTTTCTGTGAATATTCAACCACAACATCTCTGCAGGTGTATTATCAACTCATCAAGGATAGAGAAGTTACAATTTAGAAATTAAACTGTAGTGAGTTTGAAAATAAAAAAATGGAATTAAATGCATCACTTCCAAATCTAATGAAGATTTTCTACAATAAAAATAAGCAGAACAGTTATACTAACCTAGGCAATGACATGAGGATTAAGAAGTAACAGATTTACTGTATTTTCTTAACCAAAATTGCAATATCGAATGTAGATATTGTTGATTTATAAACAAAGTCTCACATTGTTAGAACAAAATGATGAATATGGGTTCATAAGCACACACAAAGTCGCTATTATTATTAAACTTTTTGGATGATGACTAAAAGTAAATCTTTAAGAATATAAGTCTAAAGTGAACAATATCATATTAATGTAGAGACGTGTGTAAACTTCTGGTACGCTAAAGATATCATTACCAATTAGAAACTACTTTACCATAAGAAACTAGAAAATTGTTATTTAAGTTTCAGCATGTGCAAGGAGTAATGGTAAAAGTTGTATTATCAAAAACCTGCAAACTACTGGCAATTCTTCTGCTTCTGGTGGATGAGGTGCCATCACACAACCAAGTGTGTCTCTCCAATTAGCAGCAGGGTCATGGTACAAACTATAGTTGGAAACATAAACAACCTTTCTGGTCGGATCCCGGGTGTAGTAATCTTTTCTCACCATGGCATCTTGTTGGTGAAATCTACCGGTTCCTTTGATCATCTCATCCAAAACATCACTTGAAATTCCATGGTTTATAACCTGAAAGAACCCCCACTTCTCACATGCATATCTGAGTTTCCCCACAACACCATCTCGCAAAATAGGATCATTATGGATGCCTGTGAGGTCAATGGTGGGGATACTAAAATTTGAATTTAGTTCACTGGTTGAGCCATCACTGAGATTAGAGTGTTCACAATAGAACATACGTGGAACTTTTGTCACACCATTTTCTACAAGTCCTTGGACACCAGCCTTTGAATCATCAAATGCCTTGAGTTCACTTATCCTGTCATAACCAGAATCAGTTCCTGCCTCCAACTCATCTGTGCTTGTGAGCACCATTTTTTGAGGCTAACAGTGCATCAATTATATTATGAAAGCAACTATGAAGGGTTGAAGATGGAGGAGTAAGTGGAATCAAGAGATCAAAAGGACAAAATGTAAATGCTTTGGTTTCAACTTCATTTTTCCATAATAGAGGTGAATAAACTAAGGCATCTTCATTTTGTTTCTCTGGATTCCTTTCATATAAGACAACTAAATTATTGTCATATTGTACCAACTTGGATTTAACAAAGCAATTAAGTACGAAGTTTTCTTATTTTGCTTTGTAGAAGCGTGACAATCTACAAACACAATTGGTCAGCGGAATCAATAGTAAACTAATAATATTTAAGTATTTTTTTAACTAATGGCCTGAATCACCCTCTCCTCATTCGTGCGTGAATTAAGGATTATATAGTTTGTATAAGTGGGTGCAATTTAAAAATCCTTTTATATGGTACGTGGTTACTCCAAAACATGGCAGGTGGGGCACTTGAAAAGCAACAAAAATGCATGTTTTAATGAGGGTCATATGTTTGATCAGATTCAGAACTTATCCATCCCCAGTGCTTTACTTTAGGGTGGGATATAGTCGTATTTCTCCTTAAAAGAAATTTTGCATGAATAGGACTTCCCTTAAAAAATGAGAGATAAACTGACAAAGGAAAATAAACAAAATTCCCATTCGATATGTTACTAATTCACGGGCAGCTTAGCCTTATGGTGCTGAAAGGAAATTATGTGATTATAAACAAAGATCATTTTCTGTAGTGCCTTATGCAGTTATGCTCTTTGACTTTGCATAATTTCATGTAAAATTGTGTTTCATTTCGGGTTTTCACATATATAAGAAATGTTAAAATTTCACAGAAGGAAGAACTAGAGTTGCAATCTAGAACAAGTGCACATAGCACTGGAGTTGCTCTTTAAACACCAAGTGTCAATAGTAGATGGTCGTTTGGGGATGGCGGAGTGATAAGTGCTATGATTTCATTAAGTTTATGGCCTAGTTTGAAGCACTTATATCAATTTTCCTTGCTTTGGACTTTGTTTTTAACTCAAAACATATCTAAATTGTTAGTTGATCATATTTTGTTTTTGAATCATGTTTTTAGGTAACTTACAAGTATTTGGTTGTTGTTTTGTAGTTTTGAAGAAAGCTAGGAAAGAAGGAAGGAAGTCAAGCACAAAGTGGTGAATTTGAAGTTGAAGGAATTTTTGGTTAAGTACCAGGTTAAGCCCCAGATCCACGCTTAGCCTCAGCTTGGCAGAGAATCCCTGGAACAGAATTTTGATCCCCACGCTGAGCGTGGAACTGAGGCCGAGCGTGGATTGTGCTGACATGTCATTATTCACATAAGACAAAAGCTTTTATGACCTAAAAGAGGATTTTCAAAGAGAGAAGGAAGGAGGATCATTCTTGGACTTGGTGTGGCGGCTGGAGAGCTCTGGAACCTTCAAGATCAAGCTTCTTCCTTTCTTCATCAGTTGTAGAGTTCTACATGTCTATGTGTAGCTAAACTCACCCTTGTTGGGGTTTGATGTAACTAAACCCATTCTCATGTGTAAACTCTAAGCAATCTATCTTAGTTGTTATTCAGTTTTATTGTTCTATTTCTGTGCATAATGCTTGTTTTAACTTGATCACCCTTAACTTGAACTTGAGGTTTTTAAGAGATTGAGAAATGATTTTAAACCTCTAAAATGAAATAGAGCAGCTAATGGTGCTTATTGCTAGAGATAGAGTAAATGCCATTGGTCTTTCTTAAGCTCTTGTTCTTAAAGCTGGTTTCTTGGTTAAACTATGCAAGAGATTGATAGTTTAAGTTAGCAACTTAGATTCCAACTTGTAAGAGATTAGGGTTGGTTACTTTTGAGAGTGATTGATAAATTCTGAATAATAACTATTGTGAAATTCTGAATAATAACTGTGAGTTTAGTGATAAGCATGAGAGGAAGGTTTAGTGTAGTCAAACCCCAACAATTTATTAATATTGCTTTAGAATCAAGTTTTGCACTCTAAGTGTTTACTAAAATACCAAAAAGAATTTTTATTGCTTGTTTACATTATTTACTGCAAGAATTCAAACTCTTATTGCTTTTTGGTAGCTTAGTTAGTATAACAAGTGAAATTGCAAAGTGTTGCGCAAGTCCCTTTGGAGACGATACTCATACTTTCATTGAACTATTTATACGATTTGGTACACTTGCCAAGCGAGATAACAAGTTTCTGGCGCCGTTGCCGGGGACTTGCGTCTCAATACTTAGGCAAAGTCACTTGGATTACTAATCTAGGCTTTGATTCATTTTTTTCTTTTATATTTTGCAATTACTATATTCCTTTTCTTTTAATTCATTGTATCTGTGTTGCTGACTATTTGTTGTAGCTTTGTGATTCTGGTTTATACGAGGTACTGTTCCTGCTAGTGATTTAGCTTACGATCCGGAAATTGAGAAAATAGCTAGGAGGAACAGGGGAGCAGTAAGGAAGCAAAGGTTACTAGCCAAGCAAGCACAACACAGAGAGGCTACTTCGTCCCCTCTCAATCATTCCTTATCTGAGATCTTAGAGGAAGTAGAAATGGCAGAGGAAAGACCAAGAATTACTCTTGGTGATCATGCAGCTGCTACTGGTACTACTCATTTCTCTAGCATTGCCACTCCTGCAATCGCTGCCACTAATTTTGAGATGAAGCCAGCACTGTTGAATCTGATTCAGAACAACCAATTTGCGGGCCTTGATCATGAGGACCCATATCTGCATCTCCATACTTTTGTTGAGCTTTGTGGCACAGTGAAGATACATCAAGTTCCTGAAGAGGTGATTCGGATGAAGTTGTTTCCTTTCTCACTACTTGGGAAAGCTAAGATGTGGCTCAATGCTCTACCACATCAAAGCTTAACCAGGTGGTCTGACATAGAGACAAAGTTCTTGGCAAGATTCTTCCCTCTTGCTAAGATAAATCAAGCAAAAAGTGAGATTGTCACATTCTCTCAGAAGCAAGATGAACTTCTATCCGAGGCTTGGGAGAGATACAAATCCTTGTTGAGGAGATGTCCAAGTCATGGGTTTGATGACCTTACTCAGGTTAATATTTTTCTGGGTGGATTGCAGCCACGAGTGAAAATTCTATTGGATGCCTCAGCTGGAGGTAGTATGCGTTTTAAAACACCGGAGGAGGCTATAGAGTTGATTGATGCTATGGCAGCAAATGACTATGATTTACCAGCTGAAAGGGAGTCAAGACAGAAAAGAGGAATTCTAGAGTTGGGATCTCAAGATGCTTTATTAGCTCAAAATAAGCTCTTGTCCCAACAAATTGAGGCTCTTACCAAGCAAGTTGCTCGGATTCCACAACAACTACAATCCACTCAACATCAAGTTCTAAGTTGTGATCTTTGTGGGTTGAATCATCCTCACGGGCAGTGCATTGATACTTTCCCATCTCATGGAGAAGAGGTGAATTACATGGGAAATCAAGCTCGACAAGGAGGAAATTATGGTGGTAATTATGGGAAGAATTGGCAATCACACCCTAGCACAGGGTGGAACCAGAATGATATTGCTCAATCTAGTAGACCTCCTATGCAAAGGCCCAACTTGTATGACAGGAAGTCTAAATTAGAAGAAACATTAAACCAATTCATGCAGGTCTCAATCTCTAACCACAAGAGTACTGAAGCATCTATAAAGAATTTGGAGATTCAAATGGGGCAGCTGGCCAAACAATTGGCTGAAAATTCTGGTGGAAATTTTTCAGCCAATACACATACTAATCCAAAGGAGAATTGTAGTGCAATTACAACAAGAGGTGGTAAGAGAGTGGGTGTGTTGGAGGATGAGGAAGAGCAGCAAGAAAAAGAGGTAGAAATGAGAGAAGGAGATGGAGTAAATAATGAAAAAAATAAAAAAAATAGAAAATGCAAAAGAGAATGTCATAGAGGGAGAAGAGTTGGCTGAGGAAGTTGTTGTTAAAAAATCAAAGAGCCAACTAGCAAGAGAATTGAAGATGAAATCCAAGGTGTCTAATACCAAGGATATGCCATATCCCCCAGCCCCAAGCAAGAAGGATAAAGAAAAGCAATTTGCACGCTTCATGGAGCTTTTTAAGAAGCTTCAGATCAACATTCCTTTCTCAGAGGCATTGGAGCAGATGCCCACTTATGCAAAATTCATGAAAAACCTCTTAAACAAGAAGAAAAAGTTCATTGAGCAAGAGATTATTGAGTTGGAAGCGGGGTGTAGTGCCATAATTCAAAAGAACTTACCTCCCAAGTTCAAGGACCCTGGAAGCCTTACAATTTCAATCACTATTGGGGACCTATCTATTGGAAGAGCACTGCTAGACTTGGGTGCAAGCATTAACCTCATGCCCTTGTCTATGTTGGATAGAGTTGGACAGGTGGTAGTAAAACCAACTGGTGTCTTTGAAAACATGCTAGTCAAAGTTGACAAATTCACATTTCCAGCTGATTTTGTGATTTTGGACATGGAAGAGGACTCTACTGTTCCTATTATCTTGGGGAGGCCATTTATGAAGACTGCACGAGCAATCATTGATGTTGGGGATGGTGCATTAAAATTGAGGGTCTAAGATGAGGTGATCACTTTCAACGTATTTGAAGCCACGACCCTTCCGAATGATAAGGGTGCTTGTTTCCGAATAGAAGTGCTGGATGAGGTAGTGTGTGAGGCTAAAAAGAAGCTGAAAAAATCAGTTCTAGATGATGAAATCCGCTTGAAGTCGCTCCCATTCTCACTACTTGGGAAAGCTAAATTGTGGCTCAATGCTTATGATTCAGCTAAGCATTACAAGGAAAAGGTGAAGTTGTACCATGAACGAAAGATTCTAAAGCGAGAGTTTCATCTGGGACAACTTGTTCTCCTTTACAACTCCCGGTTAAGACTATTTCAAAGGAAGTTGAAATCAAAGTGGTCAGGACCATTCAAAGTTAAGCAAGTTAGGCCTCAAGGAGCAATACCAGTGGAGGATCTTGCCTCTAAAGAGAGTTGGGTGGTAAATGGCCAAAGACTCAAACTCTACCTAGGCGGTGAAATTGAGCGAGCTCATTCCACCGTTGAATTGAACAACCCTTGAAGTCTTGGTTTGTCAAGCTAGTGACAGAAAACGAGCGCTTTATGGGAGGCAACCCATCATTCTTAATCCAAAAACCAGTTAGCATGCCTTTAAATTAAATTATTTTGTGTTAGTGTGTTCTAGGTGTAGGTGCATGGTTAATCATTGTGTTTGCTTCTTAGTCGAGAAAGCATTGTGTTTGTGAGGGCTTGAGGAACTTCATGTTGAGCTATGCTTGAAAAATTTGAAAATTTGCAAAAAAATTGAAATCCACGCTCAACATGAAGTTCCAAGCTAAGCTATATCAGTGCAGAGGTAGAAAAATAGCTCTCTGGAGGTGCCAGGCTAAGCGCCAGTCCCACGCTTAGCCTCATAACTTAAACTTTGAAATTGGGAGTTCTTCCTGGAGCTCCCACGCTAAGCCCCAGTCCCACGCTTAGCCTGGGAGTTCCTTTTTCATTAAATGTTGTCAAACTCTCTCTCAAGACACCTATTTCTTTCCCTCTACCACTCCTTAACCTCTCACAAACACTCTCAAACCCTAAGTCTCTTTCTTTGCTTCTTTGGCCGTGTTGCTCTTGGTGTGGGTAGGCTCCATTTTCTCTCTTGTTCATCAAAGGCATGAAGGTAAGTCTTTTTACCTAACCTTGTGTGGTTCCCCCCATTGTATGTTTCTTGGCTCCATTTCTATTTTTCCCCACTCATCTAATCCCCCTACCCATTTTCGTGCAAACCCTTGTATCCATGGTGTTTTTGAGCTTATTTTCATGGTTGATGTTCCTTGATGATATTTTCACATTTGTGGTGGTATATTTGTGAATGGGTCTTTTTAAAACCCTTGGAAACCTTATTTTTGTGAATGCCCATGACAAGATTCAAGTTATTTTGGTGTTCTTGGTGGTGGGTGAATCCTTTTTGGGGCCAAAAGGGGAGCACGCTGCTGCAACCCTCACGCTGAGCGTGGGCTGGGCGCTCAACTTGTCTATGGAGTTTAAAAAAAAAAACCCAGCTTGGTTGTTCATTGTTTTGCCTGATTTTGTGTCTTCCTAATTACATTCACTTATTTTGCTTTTGTAGCATGGCCAGGAGGCCATGATCAAGAGAAGGGGGGAGGTGATGCAGTTGTCAATGAAGAAGAGTCAGACAAGACTGAAGATGATAAGGAGGAAGACTAAGCTGATACTTTTGAAAAACTATTTTATTATTTTGTTCTGTTATTTGCTTCTGACTGTTTGGTTTTAATGTGTTTTGAAAATTGAAAAATCAAAAAATTAGGTGTGCATGTATCCCTTAGTGAACAAAGGTATTTTGTAGACACAAGATCAAAAATGTTTGTGGTTGCACTCTAGGGATGAGTAGTGATAGTGTGACAATTACTTTTGTGGTTAATTATTGTGGCATGATACTGTTGAAAAGTTTTGAGCACCTTTATTAGCCATGTGAGTTTTGACCCCTCTTGCTGTGTGAGTGTTACCATTTGATTTCATGCGGTTGATTTTGCTTGACTCTCTTTTGAGTTTGCATAGCATATGTTGTTTAGAGATGATCAAGGCAATTTTTCTTGTAAATTTGAGCCACTTGACCAAAAAGCCAACCTAAAAAAAAAAAAGTGAATCCATTGCACCCTACTTTGAGCCAAACAATGAATTTATTGAGAACCTTGAAGCCCTTAAGAAAAACAAAATTCTCCCACACCTTAGGAATAGGAGAGCAGTCAAATTGATCATAAGGGGAGAAAAGTTTTAAGTTTGGGGTATTTTGGGGTGATCATTGTTGCTGAGCATATGGATAATTGTTGCATGTTATGGTTGTACCATTGTGGCCATTAGTCAATTGTTATTCAGTTTCAAAAAAAAAAATTCAAAAATCAAAAATCAAGAATCAAAAAGAAAAAAAAAAGGTAAAGAAAAAAAATATCAAAAGAGAAAGCAAAAGAAAAAAAAAATCAAACATCAAAAAGTGATTAAATTGTGTGAATAAGTGTGTTGTATGATCTATATGCTTTGGGTGAAGGTAGTATCTTGGGACTTCTGGGGATAGAGAAAGGAAGAGGAATTATACATGGTGATCATTAAGACTTGCTCTTCTACTCCTGTGGTGTCTTTTGTTTACCCAGAAAAACCAATTTCTTTTGTTAGCCCAGCCACATTACAACCCATGAAAGACCTTGTGATCTATGCATGATTATGTGAATGTTTGAATTTGACTTAGAAGAAAAGCAAAGTTGACTTGTGTGATTCATTTGTGTAAATTTGAGAGATTCCCACCTAAATACACTTGTGTGATGAGAGAAACACTGATCTTGGTGAGGAAGAGGTTGTTCACTAATTTTCATTAGTATCACTGCCATGCTTGTTAATCCCTTTGGGAACTGTTGCAATACACTTCTGATATCAAATTGTGTGGGCACCACATTAATTGGCGGATCAAGTGTAAACATTTTTGGTGTTCAACTATTGGAAGACATGTATGGCTGTTTTATCTGATTACCAATTTTCAAATCGTGTTCAATTAGGAGATTAGGTTGTGTGTTAACTTAGTTGCTTTATTTTTCTTTGCTTGAGGACAAGCAAGATCTTAAGTTTGGGGTATTGATAAGTGTTATGATTTCATTAAGTTTATGGCCTAGTTTGAAGCACTTATATCAATTTTCCTTGCTTTAGACTTTGTTTTTAACTCAAAACATATCTAAATTGTTAGGTGATCACATTTTGTTTTTGAATCATGTTTTTAGGTAACTTACAAGTATTTGGTTGTTGTTTTGTAGTTTTGAAGAAAGCTAGGAAAGAAGGAAGGAAGTCAAGCACAAAGTGGTAAATTTGAAGTTGAAGGAATTTTTGGTTAAGTCCCCAGGCTAAGCCCCAGATCCATGCTTAGCCTCAGCTTGGCAGAGAATCCCTGGAACAAAATTTTGATCCCACGCTGAGCGTGGAACTAAGGCTGAGCGTGGATTGTGCTGACATGTCATTATTCACATAAGACAAAAGCTTTTATGACCTAAAAGTGGGATTTTCGAAGAGAGAAGGAAGGAGGATCATTCTTGGACTTGGTGTGGCGGCTAGAGAGCTTTGGAACCTTCAAGATCAAGCTTCTTCCTTTCTTCATCATTTGTAGAGTTCTACATGTCTATGTGTAGCTAAACTCACCCTTGTTGGGGTTTGATGTAACTAAACTCATTCTCATGTGTAAACTCTAAGCAATCTATCTCAGTTGTTATTCAGTTTTATTGTTCTATTTCTGTGCATAATGCTTGTTTTGACTTGATCACCCTTAACTTGAACTTGAGGTTTTTAAGAGATTGAGAAATGATTTTAAACCTCTAAAATGAAATAGAGCAGCTAATGGTGCTTATTGCTAGAGATAGAGTAAATGTCATTGGTCTTTCTTAAGCTCTTGTTCTTAAAGCTGGTTTCTTGGTTAAACTATGCAAGAGATTGATAGTTTAAGTTAGCAACTTAGATTCCAACTTGTAAGAGATTAGGGTTGGTTACTTTTGAGAGTGATTGATAAATTCTGAATAATAACTATTGTGAACTTAGTGATAAGCATGAGAGGAAGGTTTAGTGTAGTCAAACCCCAACAATTTATTAATATTGCATTAGAATCAAGTTTTGCACTCTAAGTGTTTACCAAAATACCAAAAAGAATTGTTATTGCTTGTTTATATTATTTACTGCAACAATTCAAACTCTTATTGCTTTTTGGTAGCTTAGTTAGTATAACAAGTGAAATTGCAAAGTGTTGTGCAAGCCCCTTGGGAGACGATACTCATACTTTCATTGAACTACTTATACGATTTGGTACACTTGCCAAGCGAGATAACACGGAGAGTTTTTGATTTTCAAATGATTTTACAAAAAAAAAAATACATTTGATAAAATAGAGCTATATTAATTTTTAACTCAATTTCAAAACTATTGCGGATAATATTTGATGATAACTCTTCATGTCACTACCACTAGCATCAATGTTACCACCTTTCACAATTATCACTAACATTGACACCATCACTACTATTAGAATTGATACTACTACCATTGACACAATACAACTACTAGTTTAGCACCATCAACATCAACACCAACATTATTATCACTATCACCATCATCACTACCATTTACATCATTATCATGATTACTATCGCTAGCATCATCCTTACGGCTAAAAACCACCCCCAAAGTCCCATATTTTATCATTTATGTTTGTCAGAATTTGTGTAATTAGTGAGTGTTGGAAACTATTTTGGTAAACCATAAATCCATTGGGTGTAGCTTCAAGAGTTCTTGTTTCACCTCACTGTATATTAAGATCAAGAAAATAGGTCTACTTTTTACTGCCTCAATTACAAGACAAACGACACCATCGTACCACAAATTTTCAATCCAAGAATAAAATACAATATCCTTACTCATATCGAGTTTGATAAATGTTATAGTTCCCAACTTATCTAATTTATATCATGCTAAATAAACCACATCAATCAAAACTCAAATCCTGAAGTGTTTAAGAGCAGAGATCCCATCAAGGCCCTTTGCATTGAAGTAGCGTACATATTCCGCAACAGTGGTTTCTCTGTATTTGGGAGGATTCTCTTCTGATAATAATTCTTTTATAGGTCCATAGAGCTTCGGTGTTGATTTAAGACCTGCGCTGAAAAAACATGCAACAGATATTCTTGGACCTTCGAGATTTGCCAGTACTCTATGTTCTACACTCTTGAATCTGTCATTTGTTATAAGCTGCAATTAAAAAATAAAAACAATAATTAGCCACATTCATTTAACCTCATTTTACATATCGTAAGAACTTGTATAGTTGCAAAGTTGTATCAGGCTAATGCTTTTAACCTGTGAAAATATTATTACAAATCTGCTGTTGTTTTATGTATTGTAGTTGTACCATTGTTTAATAATGTGAAATATAAGAATATGATATTCCTAACAGCCTTTTTGAACTTGTAAGGGCTAAGATAAATCTTAAGCAACAAGAGGCATAACTCAGACTAGCCATTTTTATGTAACCATGTTAAAAAACTCAAAATGTATTTAGTTTTTGGCAATGAAGCTCCAGATGCAATAAGCATTCACAATTACTCCGGATGCAATGAGCAGTCAACTCGGCTTCACGCCTTGAGCACTCAGCTGGACTAACTCTTAAGCTGGTATTGCTTATACCAAAACAACTATTTTTGAGCATTTTTGAGCCAGCCATGTGGTTCATGCTCATGGCCCAAAATAAACATTTAATTATTGCAATAAGGCATTATTATGCCTAAAGGTAGGTAACCAGACATGCTTATGTTCATTTTTCACACATCTCTTATATTCACTAATTTGGGAGTCAGAGTGTCTATGTAGGTATTTGTTACTTACTGGGGCCTTTTTAGCATCCATCATGTTCAAAGATTCCAAAAATACCTCCAAATAATAACTATGGCTGGAAATTCACACATGCAGAATAACAATAGATAACTTGCCTGCAGAAGATCACCAATGTTAACAACAAGTGCTCCAGGTTCTGGGGGTATATCGATCCACATGTTCTGGTGAAGAACCTGGAGGCCACCAATGTGATCCTGGAGAAGCACTGTGAGGAAACAATTATCAGAATGCTTGGTGGTTCCCATAGTTAATTCTGGTTCAGGGCAAGCAGGGTAGTAATGGCAAAGTGAAATAAGCCCCTCAGCACAACCAATGTCTTTTAAATGGTCTGGGTGCAGCCCTAGAGCTTCTGATAGTAATTCAAATAGTGCTATTCCCAGTTTCATTACATATGTCCCATATTCCAGAAGTATATCCCTACAAGAAGATGCAGTCAAGTAGCAATTAAAGCCTTATGTATAGTAGAAATGGAAAATTTTAACTTTGGATCTTCTTACATTTTGTAACTGGATTGTATATTTGTTTGTCTAACTTCATATTGTATACCTTGATTCATAACTCTTTATATGCACACAAGTGGAGACTCAATTTATAGTCTGCTGTGCAACTAGAAGGTTGAACCTTCAGGAACCATGCACACACACCCTTTATGCATATAGTAATTAGTAACTAGTAACTTCATGCTAATATAAACTTATAAAGCTAAATGTGAGTTTAATTTACATATAATGACATTCACTAATTAGAAATTATCTTAAGAATTGTTTAGATAAGCTTCTCCAGAAGGATTTCCAAGAGAGAAAATAGGAAGTAAAATTGAAATAAACTTCTCCATAAACTATATATGAATTCAAAGTAAGATTTTGGAAAAGCTAATAAGAGAAAACTTCTACAAATTAGTTTATGTCTAAGCTAATATATTTCAATTTATGGAGAAACTTTTTTTTTTCTTTTTCCTATTTTTCTCTTCTAGAGGTACATCTGAAAAAGTTTACTTAAATAGACCATTTGTGACTTAAAATAATTATTACAAAGGTCAAGAATCTTAATAAAAATAACTATTCTTTTATCAGTGGGAAATTATAATGACAGCAACAAAGTTTGAACTTAATACTATGTGCGTATTACTCCGATCTTAATAAACATGACAGTCTATGTTTGGACTACAGTATGAAGAACCTTTACAGTGTCTACGCATTCTAACTAAATTGTCTAAATTTTCCCTTATCTTAGTGGCCTAAAATTTACTGCAGTATACATGATGCATGAACTCACCTGCATACTGGTGGCAAGTCTTCAGGTTTGGGAGGATTAGGAGCCAAATAACACACAAAAGTGTCCCTCCAATTGAGTGCTGGGGAGCTATAGAGATCAAAATTGCTATTATACACAAAGGGTCTCATCTGTTCACGGGTATAAAGGTCCTTCTTCACCTCATTATCTTGTTCATAAAACCTGCGCACCCCATCTTTCAGTTCCTCTAGAGCAGTCACAGGGATGCCATGGTTGACCACCTGAAAGAAACCCCATGTCTCAGATGCTTCCCTTATTCTGCCAACAACATGTTGGCGTGAACTTGGATCTTCACCAACTCTCGCAAGGTCTATAACAGGAATAACATGTTCTGTGTTGCCTAAGTTTGAGGCCTTCACAAATTCATCAGGGGGGTGATGAAACAATCTTGGAATCTTGGTAACCCCTTCATCAACAAGGCCTTTAACACCAGCTTTTGTGTCATCAAATGCTTTGAGCTCACACAGCCTATCAGGGTTGAGATTCACAGTGCCTGCAACTTCATCTGTGATAGTAACCCCCATGTTGTAATGGACTCTTTTCTGGAACCTTGGTCTTTTTAAAATAGTTTGTGGTAAGTAGACAATGGTTAGGTACCTAAGAGAGGAGACGTGTGTAGAAGTAACGTTGTGAACCACAAAATAAAGGGTCTTCTATCCACGTGAATAGCAGACAGAAGAGACAAGTGATGCATGGTCATCTTGGTTTGGTAGCTATCCTTACAAATTTTTACAACAGTAGGTACATTTTATCTCTAGATGATCAATGATAAAGTGTATTACAAAATGTAAAATAGTAATTAAGCTTTCTTAGTATTGTGGTTCTAAGATCTATTATGAGATATAGGAGTTGATACAGTAATTTTAGGATAGATTCTTATTTATTTTAAAAATAATATTTCGTCAGTAAAACTTATATTATATAAGTGTAGATTACTTATTAGTTAAATTACTAAATTCAATTTTTATTGCAATCATTTTTATAATTTTTCTTATTTTTATATAAAAAAATTAATTATTAGTTATTAATTTTATCACAATGTGAACTATATCTATGAAAGAAAAAAAAATAAAAAAAGTATTAAATATGTTTATGAAAGTGTAAATTCACAATCATATTAATTTGAAAATAAAAATGTGTAGTTAAAGTGATCATATATATATGAATCAAAATGATATTAAATAATTAAATTTAAAATTTTATTTTACATTTTAAAAATATTGGATAATCTTTTAATTTTAACAACTAATGTGATGTGTCGGTATTTTCTAAATTTACAAATTAAAGTCAGTGTTTATTCATATTTTATACAATATTAAACATCTTAGTTTATTATAAATTAAAACTTCTAAGCATGACTTATTCGTCGTTTATCAAACAACTAACTGCATATAATTGATCATGAAAAAGTATTGGTTTTGACTGAAAATCTTCAATATGAGGCCAAGTTATCCTTAATTTTTTGCTGATATTCATAACAAAATACACAAAGACTAAATTATAAATCTTACTTTGAAATTTCAATAAAGTCACATGATCGGTACCAAATTCATTCTTCAAATATAAATCTTACTTCCAATTAACATTGTTTCCTAATTCCCACCTACCCATGATATAGGGGTCCTTTTTTGTCTTTATTTTTAAAATATAGGAGCGAGAGAATAAAATTTTAAAACTAATTTATTTTTAATTATTTAGTTTTAAAAAAAACAAATTACCATTTTATAAATTTATCGTAGAAAATGAGTGTTATGCAATATAACTAATATATTAAACTTAACAATTCATTAGATGACTTTAAAAATAACTATTTAGTAAACATCCTTTTTTAGGATAAATAATTATCTTAAAATTGAAATGCATCTTACACTCTAGAAAATAAAATACTCATATTCATTTATAATAATAAATAATTCATATAGTTATAAGTAATATAAATTTGTGAATTAAACTTGTCTCAAAAAAAATAAGAACACTTCACTCATCACTATTATTAGTGTTATCATCTCTATTATTATCATAAATATTATTATTTGTCATAATAATTATAGTGTGATAATAATGGTGATAATAGTAATAATGATAATAGTTGTGGTGATAAGTGATATACTATTATTTTAAGAGTTAATCACTTATACACTGTCAGTATAAAGTTTTTTACACTGACAGTCAATTAGAGCCGTAGTATCTTTTCATCTGCTCGTTTAATTAAATTAAAATAAAAAAGAAGTTAATCACCTATACACTGCCGGTGTAAAAAAGTTTTTTTTTATACTAATAACCAATCAGATCTGTTAATAGTGTCATGTTATTTGTTCATTTAATTAAATTAAAATAAAAAGATACTATTAACAAATCTAATTAGTTGCCAGTGTAAAAATACTTTACACTGGCAGTATATAGGTGATTAACTCAATTTTAAATATTCTAATAATATGATAAATTTATTAAATTAAATTATGAACTATTTTTTGTGAAGTAATAGTTCCAAGCAAAGGAGTGACTGGTGCACTATAATACTAGGGAAGTGAATGGTAATAAGTGTAATATTTATTTATGGACTACTAAAATTGTAACATTTATCAAGACATTTGACATTTAATATATGTTGTAATAATTAATAATTAATAATATTTAGACTAAATTATATTTAATATCTTTATTTTTATTTCATTTTATTTTATTTTATCCTTTTATGGATAAAAATAGAAGCTAAATAAAAGTTTAATTTTTTTTTATCAAGTATAAAAGTTTAGTTTGACTTCAATATTATAAATTTATCACATTATTTATTTAATGTCATGTCATCATGATTAATATTTCAATTTTAACCGTCATTTTATTACAAAATTTAAAATTAGAAAACGAAAATCACGAACGAAATATCACCAGGAGTTCAAAATACAATTTAGTGAATTAGTTTATTAGTTTAATGTGAGTAGAATGGCTAATTTGAACTAGCTCGACACTCATTTAATTTTTTTTTCTTTTTATGAATAGCCTCATTTAAGTTAGTTTATCGAGAGTTAACACATTTTTTAAGTTAGGCCAATTTTTCAGTAATATTTTTTTCATAGCCTATTATTCTTTACTAGGTTTTGAGTCGATTTATATTATTAAATACTAATTATCAAATTATTTATTTAATATCATATATTAACTAATATTTCAATTTAGTATTTAATTTTATAAAATCATGACATGTAAAACTAAGGACACTAAAATCACTATAGAGTATTATAGGAGATAAAAATATAATTTAGTTAATTAGTTTATTGTTAGTAGGATAATTAGTTTAGACTAACATGACTCATTTAAATTAATTTGTTTATCCAAAGTTAGCATATAGCAAATTAATTTTATTTTAAACCTAGTCTTTAATAGGTTGTGAGTCGATCTATATTATTAAATATTAATTGTCATACTATTTACTTGATTTCATGTTTGATCAATGTTTCAATTTAACATTCAACTTTATGAAATCATGAAATTTAAAATTACAAAACCAAATTCATTAATATAATATTATAGGAGGCAAAAATGTAATTTCGCTAATTAATTAATTTATTAGTTTATTGCTAATAGGACAATTAAAATTAAGAAATCAAAGTGACTTAAATAATATTAATATATATATATATATATATATATACTAAAATTATAATAAGTGATTACTTAACATTTAAAACAATTAAAACTTTCAAGAACTTTTTTAAATTTAATTACATTACTTTCAGGAACTCAAATAGTGTTTTATTCTTATTTAATATATTTATTTTTAAATGATTAATAATGATTGGTCTAAAATGAGTCAAGCTAGTATGTCCGACCTAATGTTGAACTTAAGTTTTAAAAATTAGACTTGAGGCATTTTTAAGGATAAATTAAGGTTATTTTTTGGGACATCCCAACAAAATTTAATTAATGTCATATATTATTTTAAAAGGTTTATTTTTTTTGAAAAAATATATTAATAATAAAAAATTATTTTATAAATAAGATATTGTATAATGTGTAATATGATATTGTATTGATAATAATTTTGTTTATTTTAAAATATATCATAACATACCGTAATTTTATTTTTATGCTTATTTTATTTTAGGATTTAATTATACACAATATTAATACAATAATATATCATGTTAACTTAGTCTTGTCTTTAATTTATCAAATCTTGATCAACTCTAATTCAAGTTATAGCAATTGGTCGTAACTAAATTAAAAGTTGAGTAGGGACAAAATAAACTCATCCAACACATCCCACTAATGGGGTTATTGGATTTTGTTTGTTAAGATATATATATATATATATTTTTAAAGGAGTATAATGTCTTGTTAATATCGGGTTATATATGTGTGTACATCTTCATATTGATATGATATTGCTTAAGCTCTTATGTCACTGATAATGAATTTATTTTTTGTTATTGAGATATATTTTTCAAGAGAGGTTGTTTTATATTAAGTTATTTGCGCACTTCTTCATCACTACAACAAAATAGATTTTTAGTGACATTTAATATGACTTTTAGTGGCAATAAAAATTGTTACAAAATCTTTTACCGGCATTTTCACATTAGCAATTGTATGCAGTGTCGCTAAAATATTTAGCGGCAATTATTCAAAAAGCTGGTAAAAATCCTTATAATGGTCGAAAAAAAATGCATATCTTTTTGTGACGTTTTTTACTTTTTAGTCGATGTGGAACTTGTAAGATGAGTAGAAATAAATAATTACTTTATCTCTAGTTGATGTGAGACTTGTAAGACGAGAGTTGTCTTTCTACTTATATATTCTTTTTAATTACCTTGGTTGTCTTCTAATTATATATATATATATATATATATATATATATATATATATATATATTATGTTCTGATCAATAGTCGACCCCTTAAGTTTAAAGATTATTGATTTTGATAATAGTGAATAATCTCATACTAATTTAGAATAATAAGTAATAGGTATAACTCAATCCTACATAACAAACTTGTAAGGTGAGAGTTATTATTTATTTATATACTCTTTAATTATTTTATTTCTAGTCGATGTGGGACTAAAGTTTTTCTTAATAAATAATTGTCGCTAATAATAAATTTTGGTGTGATATAAATATATTTTTAGTGACCATTATATATTAGTCACTAATACTTTTATTAAATAATAAAATAAAAGCAATTAATTTATTACCGGTAAATAATTATCGATAAAAATAAATTTTGTTATAGTGCATATTAATATAATATTATCCTCTTTGAACTTAAATTCTCATAAATTTATTTTTTATCATCGTCCAAAAAATTTCAAACTAATAAAATATATATATATTCTTCCCTTATTCTAATAATATAGAACTTGATTTTTATTCTAGCATCCACACTCACTCCTACTTAATATAATAACAAAGTAGATTTACTCCAAGTTAAAAGTGAAATATATTATTTATCAATAAGTTATTATACAAATTCCATAATCCATAACAAAAAACATGTAAGAATATATGTTTTATATCATTATTCAATATATATCGAGATCTGTGTTCCTTAAAATAGAATCAAGTATAATTTTAGAATAAGGGTATGTTCTACTGTGAATGCCTATAAACTTTTATATTGTTGAAAACTTTTCTTCTCTCTTTGTGTCATTTTTAATTTATATTTACCATTAATTATTTTTTTCATGTAGGATTATCAAACTATTACTTCACCACCTGTCTATATTAGTCCATTTGACTTAGGTCCTAAGTATGTTGATAAATTGGGAGCAGAGTTTCAGGAGCTGTTTGCCTTGCAAATAAGCATGATTTTTTTTTAAAAAAAAATTCAATCTACATCGGTTCTCTAGAGAACCGATGTAGATTTATGCTTAAATCTACATCGGTTTTTTAGAATCGATGTAAAAATGTATACATTTTTTACATCGTTCTATTCTACATCGGTTTTGGAACCGATGTAGATGACTTTAGAAAACCGATATAAAATGTGCATCTTGTAGTAGTGTGTCGATTATAGCTAAGTTGATTATATCACTCCATAATTAAACATGAAACTTGATATTAATTTAAAATCAAAAGTAATAATAATAATAATAATTTAAAATAACTAAATAAAATAAAAACAGAGCTTGTTGGAAGGAGTCATATATGTCTTTTGAGAAGAAAGCATATGTTAAAAGAAAAATAATAAAAATGGAATTTTCATTTAAAAAATAAGAAAAATGGTGTCATATACTTTAAGGGAATTAACCATATTGGTTTGCTTTTAAAAAATCATGTATGGCTTAAATCCTTTCATGTGACTTGGTCTTGCTAAAATGAAAAATGAAATAACTTGTTACCTTTCTATTTTCATTTGTTTCCGTCATTTTTGGGTTCCTTTTAACACTTCATAATTTTCTACTAAACTTTCGTTTCTGCAAGTCTCACCACCACAAAGGTAAAGTGTCTCTCCTTTCTCTCTCTATTCTTTCATATGCTTCATTCCATCTTTTCTACAAACCATTCTTCTTTCTTAGTTTGATTCTTCCATTTGATATTTCTTTCAAATTATTGTTTTGAAGGAAAAGAAGAACATTTTTACTTAAAAAAATGAATTTTTCATGTTGGTAATAAAAAAAACTCAATTGGAATATCAAATTACAACATGAATACTCTTTTATATAATAGCTTGTTCTTTTACTAATGCAATTAGCATCTTTATTTATTGAATTTATGATCTATTTCAATACTAAAAGTTATTAACGTTTGAGTTTCTAATCTTTTGTAACCAGATGTTAAATTGTTATGGTATTGCTTTCCTTTTGGTGTTTTTGTCATTTATTACAATAATAAATGCAAGTGCTGGTGATGCCGATCCACATTACAAGTACATAACTCTATTCTTTCTTCAATCTTCCTTTGAAAGTGTTTATATGTCGATTGTTATTTCTATCTGGAACACATTTCATGCAAAAGTAATTACAAGCATTTTTTGTTCTTATTTAATTTACTTTGGATGCTAGGATATGTGTAAATCAATGTGAGGAAACAGGATGCTTTAGGGAAAAATGTTTCCCAAATTGTAAATTTTCTTTAGATGAAGTCCCCAATATTGGTCATCCATGGAACATGTTAGAACCACTTTATGTACATTGGAAAAAAGGGGATTGCCAAAGTAATTGCCAATACTATTGCATGCTTGATAAAGAGAAAGAAAGGGAGTTGCATAGTAAAGGTCTACAAAAATACTATGGTAAATGGCCCTTTAAGAGTATCTATGGGATACAGGTTTGTTACTAATTAAATATATAATTCATATTTATTTTATGCTCAATTTCTAAATCAAATTAAGACATCAAAGTCTTTTGTTTAGAGATTTAATTTCAATCATTTGTTCAGGAGCCTGCTTCTATGGCTTTCTCTGTCCTCAACCTTGTAATGCATTTTCATGGTTGGATGTCCTTTTTCACTCTTCTATACAATCAACTTCCTCTTAAGGCAGGAAAGAGGCCCTACTATGAATATGCTAGTTTGTGGCATGTTTATGGGTTATTGTCACTAAACTCTTGGTTTTGGAGTGTTATTTTTCATACTAGGTAAGTCACTTATGCAAATAATTTCAGTGTTTCAATTTAATGATTTCAAATGCGTAATGTCATTCTATTTTGATTGTTAAAAGAATCTTCTACATTTCTATTTGTCATTAAGAGTGATTAAATTTATATAAGATCCAATTATATATATGATATTGCTAGTGGATAAAGTGACACTTTCTTGTTTTTCTTTGGGGGTCTAAATTTCATGGTAAGATCAACATATTACATTATTTTTTTATAAGGAGCAAGTTATAGTAACTTATACCTTTGAGAATATTTGAACAAAATTAAGGTTATAATTTTCTAACATACTTTATTTTAGAAATAAATAAGAGTACATTATTAGCAAACCTTGTGCATATAGTGGGATTTATGTATAGCTTATTTAATGGTTATACATGTTGATTCTTCCATTGTTCTTTAAAGACTAGATTTCCTATATTGCACCTAACTAATTAAAAGAAGAAGAAAAAAATAACCAATCTTATCACGTATCTTACACTGATATGCAGATATTGTGAGTTAATAGAAAGACTAGACTACTCTTCTACGGTGGCTTTACTTGGATATTCCTTCATTGTGGCCATATTACGAAGCTTCAATGTAAAAGACGAAGCTACTAGAGTTATGATTTCTGCTCCATTGATATCTTTTGTGATCACTCATATAATGTACCTCAACTTCTTTAAATTAGACCACGGTATGTCCTATAATGTAATCTTTGTACTACTAAAGAATTATCTATAAATAAAAAAAAAATACATGCTTACTTAATTTTTCTTTTAGAAAAATCTATCTTCTCAATTATCTATTTTGTCCACATATTTTGCTTCAACTTCCATTGCAAGAGTACCGACAAGATTCTTCACTCGGAGATTTCATTTCAAACCCATTCTTTTGATGTGTTTATTGAGATGTAAATTTCAATTTGTGTCTTTCTTTATTTATTTTTCTTATTCACACCATTCATTTTTTATTTCCACTTCATATTTTTTTATGGAATTATTTTTCTAACTTTGCAGAATGGAATTTGAAAGTTTGTGTACTGATAAATGTAGCACAACTTGCTACATGGGCAATTTGGAGTGGCGTTAGTCACCATCCCTCACGGTGGAAGCATCGATTTGTTGTTCTTTTTGGTGGCTTTGCAATGTTCCTAGAGATATATGATTTCCCTCCATATGAAGGACTTGTAGATGCACATGCTCTTAGGCATGCCATTACTATTCCTCTTACCTATCTTTTGTGGAGTTTCATTAGGGATGATGCTACATTTTTAACCTCTAAACGTTTAGATAATTCCAAAAAATCTAAGTAGCTTCTATTCATTTGGAAGTTCTAACAAATTTAGATGCCCATTACTTAGTTTTGTAATCGTAGTTGGGAAAATGATGGTTAATTTATATAATGTTTTCTTTAATAGGGAAAAATATTATTTCATGATTTCCCTTCATATTCTTGTATTTGTCTTCAATTTAATTAATTAATTAAATGTATGTAAAAACCTAGTTTCTATTGGCCAATTTTTTTTTTATTTTATATATAGTATATACTTCATTAAAGGATTATGTGTTTTTATTTTTTTATTCTTGTTTCCCAAAACATGATTTCTTTCATTGGAGAGTGTTACATGTATAATGCAAAATCTATAAGAATTGGTTAATGTACAAGAGAATGAGATTATATAAGTATATGAAATATTTTGTCTTTCCTCTTACTCATTGATCAACAGTAATAAAAAGGACAAAAATAAGTAAATTTACCATATAAGACAACAATCTTGATTGTATCACAATGATCTTTGATTACATCAACTAATTAAGAATGATAGAAAGATAAGGGGTTAAACATTGAGCCGGGAATTAAAGAAAAAAATAACAATAAAAAAGTTCAATCATTAAAAATAATCAATCCACTAGATAGGATTCTACTTGGGTTATCACTATTTTTCTAAAAAAATTATCCCTAAATTTGATTTTAATTCTTACTTGATCCTAAAATAAATTAATTAAGCTTCAATCAATTTTGGAAAATTTCCTACTAAATGAATCATTTAGACTATGACTAATTTAGCTTGAAATTAAGGATTATATAAGTTACTAATTTAAATATTGAAATTCAATCAAGCTTATTAATTCTTTAGAATTTTCCAGTGAATTCTTGAGGATTAAAATTAATTGAGATTTTTTATTTTACTAAAAATGGACTAAAAATATTATGATCTATTTAATAATACTTAAATTCACTAATAACAATGTGATTAATTGTTAATGAACGTTGGACACCTAACATTAATTAAATGAAATATTAAATAACTTTTAAATTTTTTAAAAATTATAAATTTGATTTATGTATTTAGAATTTTTAATTTAATTATTGGATCATTGAAATTCAACATACATCTTGAATTATTGAGTAAAAAATTATTCTTGGAGTAACTCTTTGACAATAATTTCATAATTTTTCACAAGATTTTGCTAGTCACGATAATGACTCTCAATATGAAAATGAATCGTTCAATTTTCATCAACCATCTTTAAGGCGTGTGCTCGAAAAAAAATATTTGATATTTTTCACTTCACAATTTTTAATCAAGTCAACATTTTATTTTCGTTTACGACATGAGCCACACTTATATAAGCATGTTTCACTATCATAAAAATATCTCGTTCTAGTAAATTTTCGATTGAACCAATAGACAAATCTTCATTTTCAACGTAACCTGGTAATGAATACCATATTTTTTTAACTCATTGTTTAAATCCAAGATCATAAACAATAAGAAGTTAATGCATGAAGAACTATAAGTGGTGAAATGTTATTTAAGAAGACATGAAATTATAATCAGTTGCCTATTAAAATATTAATTTTTTTTTATTGATTTTACTTTTCTTTATAAGAACCTTATCAAGTATGTTATCTTTTTTCCTTAAATATATTAATTAATTTTTAAAAATCCATTTTGCTTTGCTGCACAACAAATCTTGTAACAAATTTATTACACAACAAATATCAAATTATATATAATAAAATAAATCAAATGCACAATAGATTTATTGCATAATAAATCACTTATTATATACAAAATAAATCTAAAATAACTTAATTAAAATTACATTAAAAATAATAAATAAACAAAAAATATTAAAAATAAATAAATAAATAAACAGATTTTGTTAGTCAAAGGGTTGCCCTACCACTTGGCCCACCGGGCTAGTGAGCTAGATGGGGTGGACTACACAGATTGGTGGGCTAGGATACCCAATCTGGTCCATCAATTTTTGACAGGCCAACAAATTGGGCCATAGACTGTGACCTATTTTACCACCCCTAATTTGGGTTCACTTTATCATCCCTAAATATACTTGCCCAAAACTTATTTCTAATTATTTCTTGAATTAATTATTTTTCTAAAACATCTTTAATTAATTAATAATTTATAATAAGGAGATTTTTCTTTTTCTCTCATATCAAAGAAAATGAGTAGACACAATTTCCAAAAATTAATTAATTATGTGAAACAAGAGTTCAGAGATGATTAATATAAAAAAATTTAAATGAATTTTAAAAAAAATATTAAATTATTAAAACATTTAATCTCATTAAGTAAATTGAATTTACTGTCTATAAATCTAACTTTATATATAAATTAGTATTTTTAACTAGTGCGATAACTAAATGTTTGTTATATATAAATAAGGTTTATAAAAAAATTATATATATATATATATATATATTATCCTGATTTAAAATTTATTAGATAAATAATTTTGAATATATAAATTAAATTTTTAAAATAAGAAGTTAAAGTAATCTTGAAAAAGCCTCTCATTCAAGATAATTATGTACTTATAAAATACTACTGTCTCAATTCATCCTATTTCATCATATCAGGAATATAGATTTATAAGCTTTAAGAAAGGAGTTGTGAGTAGCGGGAGTTGCTAAAAAGCTAACTAACTCTAACTAACAAGACTACTTTTAAAGCCGAAGGTAAAGCAAAGCGAAGAGAGGGATTAACGGGTGTTAAGCCCGAACAGTAAAGATGTAGTGTTAAGTGTGGCCTTACTATGTTAAATTTCGTACAAATTGTTGAGAGAATAATTGAACTTAAGCACGAGAGTGCCCACACTGAGCACGCGATACTTGTAGTAAAATAGGGTTGTACCTTTTGTTACTCTAATGTTAAGTGTGGCCTTAGATTTACTAAGCACATTGACCACAAAAGCATCAAGCCTTTGAGTGCCAAGCGTGGATGAATCCACACTGAGCACTGGGATCCTTGAGAGGCATCACGGGTTCAGGTAGGTAGGAAGTTTTTGATTCACCCTATCTTGAACAATTCCTTAAAGCTCTATATATACTTAAGTACAAATTAAACAGGTTCAAGAGCTTAACTCAACAAACAAACAAAAAATGGAAAATCCAAGTTTGCACCCTTTGTAGTGCTTGTTGTCCAATCTCAAAATATACTACGCTAACGTCTCCAAATCTTGGTGCCTTTAATCACAAGAGTCAAATCTTCCTTCAAACAAACTTTTCAACACCCAAAAACACGAGAAGTAATCAAAAGTTCTAAAATGAGAAATTAAAGTATTATCAAACTAAATTAAGAGTACATGCAAAAACATCACAAAACACTAGTATACTATATAAAATATACTATAAGATGCACATAAGGGGGATATAGAGAATTCCATTTTTATTGTAAGAGTCATTATAATCCAATTTTAATAGTGAAGATGTTTTCTTTTATTAGATTATATGATTTTTTTTCTTTTTAAAATATTTTAATGTACTTTTTATACTCAGCTCAAATTATCTCTTGTTCCTCATTTTAATAAGATAGAGAACGAAAATTATTTTATTTTTTAATAATATAATTGCTTTTATTGTAAGTTTGTTGATATCATTAACATCATAGTATTTGAGGTATTATTCGTTTTGATATCCGTTAGACCATTATGGTTTTGTTCTTAAAAGGACACATTGGAACAAGTCACTACAAGAATGTTACGACTTAATATTTGTCGATTATTGTTGATTTTTGGTTGACGCTAAATAAGTTGACACAATTTTTTTTGTGTCGGCTAAGCCGTCAATAACAAATTTATTTATTTTAATTTTTTGTTATCGGTTAAGCCGACACTACATCGACACAAAATTTATTTTATTTTTTTCTTTATCTTCTTTTTCTAGCTTATCATTTATTCATTTCGTATTTTTAACATTCGTTCGTATTCTTAACATTCCCGGGACTCGATCTGTGATCCTTGAGGTCTTAAATGAACTTGATAACCAAGCGCACCAGAACACATTTGCGTATATAACATTGAAAAAATTATCTTTCTCTCTCAAAACACGTATACTGTTAGAAAAGCCGATGTTATTTTAACATGTAGCGTCATCTTTTTTGACACTAAATTTAAATTAAGTTTAGTGTCAAAAAAGTCGACGCTATATATTTAAAATATAGCATTGGCTTTTCTGACACTAAACTTAATTTAAATTTAGTGTCGAAAAAGCCGACGCTACATCTTAAAATAACGCCAACTTTTTTGACAGTATTTAGCCGACGCTTATTTTTCGTAGCTATTTCACTATTTTCTTATAGTGAGTCTTCTAGTCGAGGCTAAAGGATAAAAGTGACCTAAACTGTGAGAACCCCGTACGAATCTTTTTCCCCAACCCTCTCCCTCTCAAAACTCTCACTCCTCATTTCTCTTATCTCACTTTCAATCTTCACTCTTTTCACTTGGACCTTCCTTTTGGCTGTTACTAGGTGGTGGAGCTGAGTGAAGTAGGTTGCTAGCTGGTGTTGAAATTCTCTATTCTCCTTTCTCGTGTTCAGGCTCCCTTCGTATTCTCTTTGGATTCTCCCCGAAGGTCGGATTTCTTCATACCAAGATAAGGGAAGCTAGTTATTTTGGCGGTTTTTGACTTGGAATGAGTCTTAGATTCTTCTATGCTATTTGTAAATGGATAATTTCTGGCTGAGATGGATGAGAATCGGATTTTCGGGGTTGTCGGAACTTTGAGAAATTTTGGGGTTTTTGGTGATTTGTGTTTGCATGTTGTAAATGAGCTGTTTTTGTTGATATTTGAGGAGAATGAGAACTTTTGACTAGATTGCATGTGGATTTGCTATTAAGTTTTGCAGGATTTTGGACAAATTTTGAACTTGGGGGAGTTGCTGTTGAATTCGCGCTGGGCGCTGTTCTTCGCGCCGGGCTCGTGACCACCAGGAGACACCATTTAGGCAAGCCCGCTGGGCGCAATGCTGTGTGCGCCGGGCGAGTTTGTAAATGGGAGTCTCTGGTCGGCCCATGCCGGGTGTGACTCGAGCTGCGCCGGGCACGATATCAAGGGTGACATGTTTTGGGGTACTTTGGTGCCGCGCTAGGCGCGCGTTTAGACTC